GTTCAAGATATTGATTTTAACAAACAAGAAAGTATTTATAGCATACACCACCTATTGTTATAATGAATCCCACAGTAAATGAACATGAAAAATATATGGCCTCAAACACTCCCTCTGTCTCTTGATGTATTACTGATTCATGAGAGTAAATGAAGGGGAACATGTATTCTACGTGGGCGAATGGATTACAAGTTTCTCCTGCCATTTCCTTTTAACTCACCCCTGTGGCAGAATATTGAAGGGTTGTAAGATTCTCCTGAAAACAACTTCACAGTATCTAGAAGAAATAACATGTTGGCTGTTCTCTCTCAGCCCTTTTCAGAAAATGTTCACCTCTCCAGCACTTCGTCTATTTAAGTTGAAGTGAAAAGGGTTTGGTTGCATTCAAGCGGAAATTGATTAGCGGAATGGTAAAGTAGGAAGGCTGCTGACTAACGCTAAAGATGAGCACTTCCATTTTGTAACGTTAGGAGACTGAGTGGAGTTTCACCTGAAACTTAGGCACACCAGAAGTGGTTGAATACAGACATTAATGGACCTGCTTTGACCTTCAATAAAGAAGCTTCCCTCTTGGATGTTTAGTAGAAAAGGAGAAAGACTTAGCAATAAAATAATAACTTAAAAATAAACCCAGTAGAGTAGAGAGTGCAGATCTCTGCCAGATGCGCTCCCTCTTCCCTCCCACACAAAGATTAGCTGAATCTCACTAAATTGTCCCTTCTTCCTTCCGGAGATAACAAAAACAGGGATTTATTCATCTCATATTGTGCCTTACTTAAAGGTGGGGTAGGTAATTTTGGAGAAACCAGCTTGAGTGCGCTAGAATTTGAAAATACACAGCCGGAAAAAATCTGCCACTCCCTTACAGAGCCCCTCTTCCAACACACACGAAAGCGCACATGACCAATGAGGGCACGAGATAAGTTTGTGCACAGATGGAAGGCTGACAGGCAGGTAGGCCATCCAGTTACTTTAGCCGCGCCGGCTAAAATGATTGGTCGTGCTTTTTACAGTACTACGGCTTCCACAGATGACATTTTTTTATGGATTTTTTGTCAAAGCACTTGCTATCATTACTATCGGGATGTTAAGAGCATTCCATGGAATATAACAAAAAGTGTATTTCGAGCCGGTTTCTCAAACTTACCTACCCCACCTTTAAGTGGATCATGAGTGCTTAGTGAAATGGCCTAAACAGGATAATTGTCCTCCATTGAGTTGAAGTATCTCTTATAGTTCTTCTGAAGAATTGAAAACAAAAGTATGATTACGAATGAAATGGGAGCATGATAAGAAGTAAAAGGGGACCTTGGACGGAGCCGTGTGGTACTCCACAGTTGAATGGAACATCAGATTAGCCAACATTACCAGGATTAACTAGAATCAGCTTTTTGAGAAGTGCGTATCCTACACCAATTCTGAGACAAAAAAATGAAGATGTTATGATTTTCTGACTGGGGAAAGGAAATCAAGCCCAACTATAAAAGAAGGAAGGCAGGTATAAAAGTATTAACACATAGCGATATTTATTCAATGAAAGCTGGTGTAAAAACCTCAAAACTGAGAGAACAAGCTAGGTAAACAAAAGGAAAGTAACAAAGCAAAACAAGATGACAAGAGGAAAGGGGAGCTGCAAATCCACAGGGAGAACGCATGGAAACATACAGAAACAGGAAAAGCTGAACAACACTGTTCAAGAGATTAAAGGGCGGTGGTGGCAAAGTCCATAGGGACTTGGCTTGGCAACTGGAAGGTCATCAGTTCAAGTCCCGGAAAGACCAAGTGCTAGAGAGGTGTCCCTGCAAGGCACAGTTCCCTTCACTGCTCCCCGGGCGCCGTACATAATGGCAGCCCACTGCTCCTAACACTATGATGGGTCAAAGGCAGAGACCACTGAAATTCCCCACGGCGATTAATAAAGGTCCATCTTATCTAATCTTAAATGGTACAATGATGACGGACTGACAACGAAAACACTTTGACAGACAGGCTTATATAGAGACAGGACTAATAACATAGTCAAGACACAGCTGGAGAGGGTAGGTAAAGACATAAGGGCAGCAAGGAGATCACACACAGTTGGAAAGAATCAGAGCAAGGCAAACAATTAGAAAGGCTGGAAAGATTCTGAGACCTTTAGCGGAACTCGAACTGTACAATAAGTAACTGTAAATAATATAAATACAGGTTCAATGTCTAATTCTCGAGCAGCATTTCTTTTAAAACACGGTTAATAGTTAGTTAAAAGACACATTTTATGATTTTGTTCTGACTTTTTCTTTTAGCTTGACCTCTTTGTCCGCACTCAATTGTAACGTCACAAAAACTAAAATGTGTTATTTCTCACCGATGGGATTTACATAACTAGATAACAGCAAGGACCCTTGTTAGGTGTGTAATGTTAATAACATCCCTGAGGAAAGACACTCCATGGAAAGCAATTAGACAGCCATCCTTAGCCCCCCCATTACGCAGCCGATCGTTTGACATACTCTGCTCTTATTAGATTCCTGCACTGTAGTATCAGTTGCTTCTCAGGATGCCAATACATTGATATCCCCTCAATTGTTTGCTTTTAAATGACTCCCGATGCTGTGTTGTTGTTGTTCGCATCATGTTTATGCAGGAAGACTATCCTTTGAAGTTGTTTTTGTCTAAACTGGTCCAAGAGGATATGCACCACAGCCTACGACCATGGCAGCCACATCAGAGGGAATGAGATGAGGCATGTTGTTGTTTATGTTGTTATCATGCTGATGGACCACAGTGCACACTGTGGCTTTAGAAATGCTCGCTGTGCCCCCGGGCTTGCAGCCAGCCGAGCAGCCTGAGGGCGGAGTTGAGCCCACAGAACTCGGAGGCGGAGGATTTGGAAGAAAGACTAAAGCCGTCTTTACTCCGCCTCATTAGAAGCACATTAGAGCCCACCGTGCACCACCCACTCAGCTACACTGCCTGACCTGTTCTCAGCAGCTCTTTCTACTCACGCTGTGGCACACAGGTGTAAGGGCAGGGCTCCAGCACAAGCAGAAAAACCCTCCTATAAATAAGTTCAAGAGAAAGTCGATGCCCATGATCGGTTTCATTACAGTAAAGGGCAGAAGCTGCGCAGTGCTAAAAACGCTGAAGTCACAGGAGTGGTGGAGTGTGTCAAAAAGCTGCAGATGCAGTCAGACTTTCCCGGTCTTTTTAGATGCAACAGTCAGTCAATAATGTGTGAATGCTGAAACTATTAGTCAGTGAACACATTGGTCAAATAAAAATAAAATGAAACAGTTAATAAATAATTTAAGGAATTTGTAACGCATAAAAGTCAAATATGTAGTGGTTTCAGCTTCAGTGGAACATCTTTTAGAGAAAACAAGACATTTTATGGGGGTTATTTTTTTTAATCTGTCACTGTTTTCTGACATTTTGAGGACTACATTTTGAGCATGGTTTAAAAAGCATTGAATACAAAGGATTTCTAATACATTTACAAATACTGTACACTATTCAAAAATAGAATTACTAAAGTGCGGGTACAAGTGCTTCAGATAGTCAATTACAGACGGCAACATGTATAAGACTGTGAGAAAAAAATAAGAAAATAGGCCAAGAAACAGAAAAAGCAAGAAAGTGAGAGGCAGTGAGTAAGAGTCAGGATATGAAGGAGGGCGAGATGAATTATAGCCCACTCCTTGAATCAATAATCTTGCGAATCACGGCCCCAGTGTGCTACAGATCTTTTTTTTCCCTTAACCAAGCAGAAAGGGAGACAGATGTAGAGAGCAGAGTCTGAGGATTGTTCAGGCTCCCAGACAAACAGAGAGCGGAGAGAGATGCAGGGATGCTGTGTCTGAAGGCGCTGAGGGGCGAGCGGAGGCAAACAGACTAAGACAGGATAAACCTTAAACAGAACATTTCTCTCCTATTTATCACAAAGTCTCCCAGGCTCCTTGCTTGTTTTCATTTGTTTGGCAGATGTCTTCCCTGGGAGTCTTAATGCCAGTGTAAACAAAAGGACTCTAATTCGCTGCAGCTATGTCTCACTCTTCAGCTCTACCATGACATGCATGCAGCTTCCTCATAGCTCTTTGTTGCATGTTTAACCACACTTTGCAATCTGAGACAAAATGTTCTCCACATAGCAGAGTGCTATCAGAGGCAGCGAGGAATGCAATGATCCAACCTGACAAGTGTGATAGTTGTAGTGGTGTCTTTCCTTAAGAGGGATTCACCTCACACCAGTTGGCTGAAGTCATTTGGACTGAAATAGATGATCACCTACCTCCATTGCTCTTTTATTCCTGTCTGTTGACAAAAATATGTATCACATTCTGACATAACATAAAGGACAGGTAGGTAGCAGTAAGTAGTAGTGTACGTTTTATTATAGATCAATGGCACTCAAAGACATCATTTTTAAACCGTCCATCAGTACGCAGTCGACTGGCTGCAACAGAACTAGAAAAACACCAGTAAGTTCTCGTGTTTGTTTGTTTTTTATTTATTCATCAGACAGATGTGACCTGATTTTATAAATCCAAATAAAAAGATGCAGTTGTGTTCTGAATCCCTGTTTGCAAATGACCTACTATTTTCCAATAATGTATTTATATATTTATTGAATTTAACGACTTAGAGAGCTGGCTTGGAGATAGCTTGTCAGAGAAGCGTGACACCTGAAACTGAAAACAGCTGTTTTTTGTTGTTGTAAGACATTCTGCCCAGGAGACATCATTTGTTGCTTCAGGGACTTGGACTGAGACACATTTAGATGCAAATTCTATTCTTTACAATATTGATTGCAACACTCTACTATTTTCTTTTTGTGCATGCTTTGCAGTTCCCTTGTGCTTGTGGGACAGTGTGGCGTCTCATTCGAGAGCGCTTCAAAATCAATAAAAGATCGTTTGTGTTTACACACTTTTGAAACTGCCATTACTAAAGAAATGTTATGTTTTTTGAGCAACAACCTGTAAACAATTTGATGTTTTTTTTTCTCTTCTGTCCCACAGTCTGAAGACCACCCTGAAGAAGAAGGTTACCGGTGACCTGGTCAACCTGTCAGGCATCCCGCTGTCCGGCCGAGACGTCCACCGCGTGGCCTTCTACCTGCAGAGCAGCAGCGAGGCGGTGTCCACAGTGGACCTGAGCTTCACCGAGCTGCGGGACGAGAGCTTACGGCTGCTGCTGCCCAACCTCGGCTGCCTGCCAAAACTCGCCATACTGGCCATGAATGGCAACCGCCTGACGATGGCCATCCTGAAAGACCTGACGGATGCAGTGAAGGATCCCAAGAAGTTCCCCAGCCTGGCCTGGGTGGACCTGGGCAACAACGTAGACATCTTCACCGTGCCGCAGCCGCTGCTCGTGGCTCTGCGGCGCCGCTTCGGTTTACGCAGCAGCCTCCCGACCATTTATGAGTACAGGGAGGCGCAGACGTTCAGCGGATACAACCCGAACTTGGAGACGTCAGTGGAGGAGCCCAGTCTGTACGAGGAGGGCGATGGAGAGGAGGAGGAGAAAGAGGAGGAGGAGGACAGGCTGGAGCTACGAGCATGGGCATGTGGAGAAGGAAATACGTCAAAGAATGTGCCGCTGCACTTCAGTGGGAGGTGATCGCCATGCAGCTGCTTTCTTTAGACTGGCTGCTCCTTACATCCCTCAGAATCACCTCTGTTAGCAGCTGTCATTGTGGCAGATGCTTACCACTTGTTTCCTAAAGTAACTTTCAAATAAATAGCTGTGTTGTGTCCGTATGGATGCTCCGACTATTGAAACTCTACAATGTGATGCAGGCAGCTCTGTGGTCGTACAACGTTTTTATTTATAAAGTTTAACTGAACATGTTTGCTGGTTCCCGGTGCTTTATGTACGCACATCTTGATGCTCCCCGTTATATTCCACTCAGCTGAGGGTTAAGTGCCTTGCACAATGGCAACACAACAGGAGAGGTTGAGGAAGGATGGGGGGGGGGGGTTAACCCAGCTGGTCTCTCTTCATCGCTGCTTCCCTATTTCTGTGAAAAAAGTCTGAATATCTTACTTACAACATTTTTGCTCTGATGTGTATGCTTTTTGACAGAACTCAACTGAAAGGAGATTATGCTCACATTAAATATGCGTCCAGTTTTCTTCTGTTGATAGTCGTTATTCAGACATATATGATGAGTTATAGTGAGTAAATGACACATACTGAATCCATTTTTATTTAAACGTCCAGGGTTGAAGCTGAAGGAGTGTTTGATGAACTGGTTCCTGCCTCCATCAGTTCTTGTTAGTCCCCTTTAATCACAGATGGCCAGAACAAGATCTATTTTTTCTCAGTAAATAGGACTAGCCCTAGATAATTTGGTCCACTTGTGGTTTGTGAATGAGTCTATTTATGAATCGGACGATAAGCACGGAGAAATAAGCCCACTCTGTTTTTAAAGCCGAACAGACAATGAAACAGTTACTAACACCTCTGCTTTTATCTTCTGTGTTGCTACATACATTTGTTTTGAGTAAATGGGCATGACCATTAGTGTCAACTTCAGATCCCACAGACAGAGAGCATGTTTACATTAATGTTCCAATAAGTGTGATTTATTTATTTGGGGGGGATTTGATCAAAAATGGTCGCATGAAAACACAACTTCCCACACTTAATCCTGCCTACAGATGTTAATGTGGTCGGTTCTCTTTCCATGCTATTATTCAGGAAAATATGATAATTTATGTTTACAGGGATGTTAATTAAGTACGTGTGTGTGTGTGTGTGTGTGTGTGTGTGTGTGTGTGTGTGTGTGTGTGTGTGTGTGTGTGTGTGTGTGTGTGTGTGTGTGTGTGTGTGTAATTAGTGTTTTCCAGTGTGCATGAAGTGTTGTGAACATGCAGAGTAAATTACTACCTTTGATCGTAGATATTACATTTGTACTTATTTGCACTTTAAGGATGACGTCCCTCAATGCACATGCTTTGTGTTCAATGGGTTGTTGTTTGTGTAAAAAAGAAACTCACTGAGTCACCCACATCATAATCAAACATTTTAATTTCAATGTTTTGGTTTTATATAATTCATCAACCTACCTACAAATCACTGACATAAAAAATTGAAAATATCAATCGTAAATGTAGTTAATTATGCCTTTGGCTCATTAAACCATGGCTCGCTTTTTGAAGTAAAAGTTATGTCGACCTGCTGTTGCTTTCAGAATAAACATGATTTGAATCAAATGTATTTTCTGTGGAGTTTTTGTAATTGGCCTGTCTGAAGAATCCTTTTAGTGACACTGAAGTAAAATGGTGTTAGACAGCATAAAGATATTTGTAATGAGTAATCATGTAACGAGGAATTTCTACAATTTCTTGTGAGATACAAAAACTTTAATAAGTGAAAAAGTTAATGAGAGGATATAATGACACATCTGAAGAATAAGCACGATTAGCTTTGATTATTTATCCAGTCAATGATTTGATCCTTTGAGATCAGATCTTCAAATTTCACCCATTCTCCTGAAGATGACATATTGTAAAGGTTTTGTTTGTACTCAATGCCGTGAATTGTTCCTCAATTATGTTTGTTAAAGAAGATAATGAGTGTTAAATCAGTAAAACAGATTAAAACTATTATTTATTTTTTTATTGATCTCTTTTTGTGCTATTTTTCTTTTTCTTATGTTGGCTATAGTAGATACAGCTAAATGAAAATGGAAAAACTGTTGAACAAAATGTGAACATGTATGTATAATGAAACTGAATCTGAAATAATAAAAAATAAATCAGATTAAAACAAGGGTTTTAAAGCTTTTACCCAATGGACATTTACAATAAAAGAACAACAAAAAGCTGTGTGTTTTGGCTTCTCTGTCATGTTTCAGATATGAGTAGTTTGCAAACCTTGCAAATGGTTTCACTTAAATAACTGTTGTTGGCCCTAAGAGGTCACACACTCCATTATTTCACAATTTGTTGTCCTCCCGTTTATCGTCCTACAACCCAAAAGGTTTATCTTGTGACCCTAGAGGGGAGCATGACCCTTATGTTTGGAACAACTGCTTAACTACATCCAATTTGTTTTACATTGTGATATAGCTATTTAACCCCTGTGTGGTGTTCATATTTTTGTTAGTCAGCCAGTGTCCGTGGGTCTGGTGGACCCGCTGCCTTTTTGGGCTTCAACTAGTGGAGCTAATGGGTGTAACAGAATGTGAGAGAGAAACAGGATGTGACTAAGGTGAAATGCTAATGCAGAACATAGGTGAGTGAGGGAGCAGATTGTGACATCCTCTTCTTCAAAGTCACTATCAGACTCAGAATTCTCAGAAATGTGATCCTCACATTCTGAAACCTTTTCCTCTACATTATTATCAAATGGTTCTCTCTCTTCCAGAATCATTTGCAAGGCCCTCTGAGCAGAGAATCTTTTGGCCATCAGTTGTGATAAGGACCCAAACTGGCAAAGCTTTATTTATTGTGTCTTGCCCCAAATTTGGAACCTGTGCTCCCCTTATCCCAACACCAAGGCTCTATCACTCACACACACACACACACACACACACACACACACACACACACACACACACACACACACACACACACTTTTTTTAGTTATCCCCGGGTCCAGTGTGTAATGTACCCTACACCCTGTATGTAATGTAAATGTGTAGGGGGGGGGGGTACAGTGGGTGGTCATTGAAAATTTTTCAATGACCACCCACTGTACCCCCCCCCCCTACACATTTACATTACATACAGGGTGTAGGGTACATTACACACTGGACCCGGGGATAACTAAAAAANCAAACCCACACTCAATAGCCTTGGCTCATTTTCTGTGAAGAACATATATCAGAACACATTTTCAATGACCACCCACTGTACCCCCCCCCCCCCTACACATTTACATTACATACAGGATATTCGGGTCCT